TTGTTCGGCCGCGGCGCTGTCAGGCTCTCACCTCGAGCACTGAGCGGTTGACGCCCAGGAGGTCTTCCGGCACCTTGACTGCCGCCGAGGACATCGCGGCCGCGAGGGCGCCGCCCCGCGCGCACCCGTCCTCGGTGGCCGGCGCCTCGGAGCCGAGCGGCTGGTCTGGTCGCAGTGGCGTCGCTTGAAGAGCTGCACTCGACCCCAGGTTCATATACTGTGTGTTTATTGCGTCGCTGCGTACGAAAGCGGCGAAAAATGGGGACTTTTTTGACACTGCACTGCTGGATACGTCGCTGCACTCGTCGCCGAAAGAAAGCGGGCTTGTCCCGCGCGACTCAAATCATGTATAGACTACGATGGGAGGCCACTGTGCCGCTCTCGCTTCGCACAGATGCCTCCTAGCGAGTTGATGGCCACAGCTCTAATAAGGCCCTGGCTGTGCGCGATGAATGCGAGCTCTGCGCGCCGGCCACGCTCCTTACCTCCGTCAAGAAGGCTTGAAAACTTGAACTTGGCAACGCACACCGCACACGGCCACAAATACACGCGTGCTCAGTCGGCTTACTACTGGCTTCCGCGCAAGCACCAGCTGCCGTGCAGTGTTCGCGACCTGGGCGCTGGACGGCGGTGCGAGGCCGCTGCCCCCAGCCAGGTGTGATCATATGATACCACGTTGACATTGGACGTCAGCAGGGAAGAAACGAGGGGCGTCGCCGATGCCAGCCGAAAACATGGTCGTGATTGAGCCAGCTCCCAGGCCACTGGTCGCTGCACGGCTACTTTGGCGCGGCAGCTGCACCAAAGCCGTACTTTGCAGGATGGACAATGAGTCGTGACGGCTGTCACAGAGCCCACATGCGCGCTGGCGTGCAGCTACAGGATGGGGGGAGTAGTGCCGGGGTGGCACCTGGCACCGGTGCCAGGTGGGGAGGCTAGTTGCGCGTTGCGTTTCTTCCGCACATGGCGCGTGCGCGATCTCCGAGACAGGGGCAGGATTACCAAATGATTGCTATGTAACATATGGTTGAGGTGCAAGTATTGTGGAGGGTACTCTGCTTTTGGAATTAGTACGGGCGACAGGCGCTGGGTTGGGCGGACGCCCAGCGTGATGGTGGCTGGCTGGAACGGGCTCGTGCAGTAGCATGTGCGTGACCCTTCCCTGCTCGGGGCGTAAAAACGAATCGCTGCCTTGGTGCTAGGCAGTGAGAGGGATGGGCAGCAGTACTCGCCCCGGGGAAGTTTGTAATTACGCAAGCGTGCAGATAGGCAAGTACGGTCTGAGTAATCGGCCGGGTGCGTCGGCAACAACGAGTATGTGCACGAAAAAGGCACGCATGTGCATGCGTGTGTTTGTGTATATATATACGTGTGCATGTGTATATAAGTGTGGATTGACGGCGCTATGCATCGCGCCGCCAAAATCAAGCGGCATCACAAGCCACCCCACGGCAACAAACGGTGTGGCTGGAGGACTTCATGCGCAACTCTGGTGGAAAAGCGGGCCTGCACCAGGCGTCCATCCAACAAGGCAATGATTGTGTGCGCGAACAGATGTGTGCGCAGGGGGAGTATTTGTAGGGACGGTGGGTTGGCACATGGGAGCACATCAGGCCAGTGAGATAAGGGTACTGCAGCCGTGACACATTGGATGCAGGTTGGACCCAGAAAGGCCAGTGCTGTGATGTTGGAGTGCACATTACGGTCCAGTGGTAGCAGGGGGCAACTGCTAGGCTAGGGACGGAGGAGGAGCACCAGCAGCATTCAGAAAAGCAACTGTCCGTCTGCTCGGCTGCTGGCCATCAACTCGCTCGGCTGCTGTGCATGACACTCACGGGTGCTTGATGCAGCGCGCAGATTAGTAAAGTAGTGATGGGGAAGAAAACCTCAACCTGCAATAGTGGTCCTCAACCAGCCGTCTACCTGGTGCTGGAGGCTGCGTGGGTGCAGTGCGCTCGCTGTGCAATAATGCGATGATCCTCGTCCTCCCCTGTTAACCTGCACGAACACGATATCAACAATATCCCCCAGCTCTGCAATCTAGGTTTGACCATCCTTGCAGGCCTCCAGCCGCAAACTGAAGTTAACGAAATTGGGTTGCCTGTATGTGAATGGTGTGGCAAGCTCGCGCCCAGCAGCCACCACGCACGCCTCGGTCCCCCTGTCGCTGCCCGGGCGCGGCGATGGCAGATGGCAGCCGATCGGTCTGATATCGTAGACGGAGGCCTCCAGTGCATGGTTCACAGGAGGCCGTCCAGGCCTGCTGCCAGCCCTTGCAGGAGTCAGTCGATGGCATCATCCAACTCGCTGTCATGCGGCAACCCGACATCCCGCGGCGGCCCAGCAACCGGGTGCGCTGCTGCTGTGCGGCTGCCCTCGCCCTCGCCGCCATCGATCGGGCACCCGTGGCGGCGGCACCCCAGTGACACGGGCGCCTGCTGTGGGGTGCTGCCCATGGGAGGGACTGATGCAACTTGGGTGTATCCCCAGTACAGGTGGGCCCCAGTTCGCCAGGTGGGCCGCTGCAGCTGCCTCCGCTCGCAGGACGCTGGGCTGGTCCAGAGTCCCAGAACCGCTACTGCCCTGTTTCTGCGTTGCCCATGGCGCTCCCGTCTGCTGCCTTCCAGCATCCAGCCAGGCACTACCATCCAAGCGCCTCCGCTTCCCAGCAGCACATGCTCATCTTGGAGCTCCTGCTGCTGCTGCTGCTGCTGCTGCTGCTGCTGCTGCTGATGATGATGATGATGATGATGCTGCTGCTGCTGCGCCTGCTGCGCCTGCTGCTGCGCCTGCTGCTGCGCCTGCTGCTGCGCCTGCTGCTGCGCCGGCGGCGATTGCGCCTCCAGGTGCTGCTCCTCTTGGTGCCGCTCACCTCCCTTCCAGTGCTGCCCCTGCTGCTGCAAGTTCTCTTTTGGCTCCTGCTTTGGCTCCTGTTGCTGCGCAGGCTCCTCCCCCTGCTTCTGCTCGCCGTTCTCCTGTTGCTGTTGCTCATGCTGCCTCTGCAATAACGTGGAGGTTGAACCGCCGCGTGGGCCAGTGGGAGCAGCACCGGCTGCCGTTGCTGGCCTAGCTGCTGCCATCGAGCTGCAGCAGCGCAAGCAGCAGCCGTGGGCTCCGCGCCGTTCAGGGTCCCAGTGAGAGACGCCAGAAGGAAGGGTGACAGCCTTCCCTCACGCTGTGGACATGGTGGCAGGAGAAGCAGCTGTGAGAATCCCGGCCAACAAAGGGAGACTGCTGGCAATTGATGACGGCCGGGCGATCAAGGTTGTATGTGCGCTCCGAGCGAGAGTTGTGCAGCCGCTCCAGATTGTGCAGTGAAGTAGTGGTGATGAGAGTTGTGCACCGCCCGTGGGACCAGGGCGCGTGCAAAGATAGCCGTGTCATGTCTTGTGTCACTCGCTGCTCACTTCCGCGAACTCATTGGAATCGACCGGGAATACCGACCACCCTGGATGGCCGGGGCTCCGCCAGCCCGTGGCCGCAGCCTGCTGCAGCTGCTGCACCAGCACCCGCTGATCGGACGTCTGCTGCGGCGCTGGCACCACCGCCAGGACGGGCTGCCCTCCCTCCCCTGTTCGGCGCAGCAGTAGCGCTGCAGGAGGCAAGGAGCAAGCCGGGGCGGCAAAGCGTCGGCTACGTGTCTGCGCGGGACCCAGCAGTGAATGTGAGGATATCGAGGGCGACAGATCAGTTGAACCAGGTGCACACTTTGGTGGCACCTGAGGTTTGCGCGTCACCCATTGTGGCTCGCCGACGGGCGTCCTCAGCTCCACTCTGGCCAGGCAGCAGGTGAACAGCAGGTCCGCATCCATGGTCCTACGTACGGATGGGGGGCAGTTGTCTTAATGAGGTGGAGAAGGTCGTGCAATGCATTGTTGGGCAAAGTACGCGGGGGAGGATTGATGACAAACTCGAAGTGGTGCAGTCCGTAGTGGTGATTTGGCCAGCCAGCGGCATGTGTCACGGTGTGAGAGTAATCACAGTGCGGGAGTACCGTAATCAGCGACACGGCGTCATGGGGTGCGTTGAATCAACAAATTCGTAAACACCACTCTTCAGGGCAGGCACAATGGTGGCTGAGGCGAGTCGCCCTTGTTCACCGCCCCTTTCACGACACGACAGCCGGCATGTGGACAGCCGACGGCAATGATTTATCTTTGCGTGGGGCCCCTCACCTCCTGTCGGCGTACCAAGCTCGCATCATGTTATCGGGCACCACCGGCCCCAGCGCGTGCTCCCGCGCCTGCTCCCACTTCTCCTTCGACATCTTGAGCACTTGCAAGTGCAGGAGCTGCCGGTGTGACAGAGAGTGAGGGCCGAAGCAGTCACGAGCTGCAGCTGGCAGTGCTTGGAAAAAAGCAGCCAGCCACCTTAACCAATTGCGCTGCCACCTCGCTCCCTCCGTCGGCCAGCGCTGGCCTGTTGGGAAGCCCTAAAACCTACACCTTCATCCCTGCCGGCGCCAACCACAGCCCTTTGAGCGCCTGGGGAGGGCGACTCAGTGAGGCTCACGATGGCGTGCAGCCGTGGGTCATGGTCCGCCTGCCGCGCCAGGACCTGGACGTCCCCCACCTTTGCAATGGTGATGATGATGCCCTCAGGGAGCGGCAAAGACGCCTGAGCCACCAGGACGGGGAGCGATTGATGGGGGCGGGGCACCATGCGCAATGGCGTCTGGGAAACTGTGATCAAGAGCTTCAGGCAGGAGCGCAAGGCCCGCTGAGCACCGGGGCGGGGCGCCGCGAAGTCAAGTGTGCATGACACTTGAAAGCAGATGAACGAGCCGGCTCAGCACGCGCGTTGCTGCTTGCTTGAGTCGTCTACCTTGTGGGCCGCGCTACGCAGGTCCTGGAGCTTATTCACCGTCTTGGGACCCATGTGCACGAGAACGGCCACCGGGTCGTCCACGCTGGGAATGTCGACCTTGCGATCACACTTCTGCCGCTGAGTCACCACCACAAAGCTCTCCGACACCGCCGCCCGCATCGACAGGGAGCGGCCGTCCCGGTGGCGCGCGCGGGCGAGCAGGCGGATCGGGGGCTTGCGGCCGTCCAGGAGGGCTTCGCAGCTGTCGGTGACCTGCAGAGTGTTGGAGCGCAAGCGCAAAACTGCACTATGAGAAGCGGCCTCACGCAGTGCTGCCAGTCAGCGGGACCCAACTTCCGGCCTGCTGCGGACTGCAGGTGCGCACCCAGTGGAGCACTGATGGCACCCAAGGCCCTGCGCTGCTGCCGCGTGCGCAAGCTTCATTGACGCAGACACCGGCGCATCAGTGATCCATGGCGCGCGCCCCCTTTTTGCGCCCAACACCTGCAAGCCAGCGAGCAAAGCCGTGCCCCTGGAGATGGTGAGGACGAGGCGCCCCAGCTCGTCATTGGTGGCGGTGCCCGCGGCGGTGAGCAGGGGCCCGCCCCTCTTGTTGAGCAGAACGCTGATTTTGTCAAACGCGGCGTCGATGGATCTCGTTCCTGTGCCGCTGCTGAAGATAGGGCGGCCAGGCGCATGGCAAGTGAGAGAGAGGCACAAAGACCCGCACGCGTCGATCGTGAGGCTGCATCATGCTACCTGCAATAGGGGCGGCCAGGTGGATGGGGCTTACCAACAAGCTTTGACCTGCTGCGCCAACACCAGGCCATCCAGCGGCAGCCAGTCAGTGGGGGCTGGGCCTGATTCACCAACCCAATTGTGTACCAGGTCCCGCGCAACAAAGCACCTGTGCCCCACCATCACCGTCCGCAGCCGCCCGCTATATAATTTGGCATAATTTACACCTCCAGGGGCTGCTGAGTGTCTTTGGACGCATTACTCATATGATTGCTCGGCAGCTTCAGGGGGCCAGGGTCGCACGCAGGTGACACGTGGGGCCCATTCCGCCGGGAAGGCAGGCAGGTGTGTAAACGTGTCCGGTGTGATCACGCATCCAATATCATGAGGTGACATCCATCCAATATCATGAGATAACACAACGAAGGCACGGATGTGCTGCCGCTGCTTTGTCGCCGGCGACATGGTGGCCGGCCGGCGCCGCCCCCCTTCGCGGCGCGCGCGGCGCCGCATGGCCCGCCCCGTTTCCATGGGTGTGGTGGCCGCGGGAAGGACTTGGGGAGTGTTTTCTTAGACAGCGAAGGTTTCCATGCATATACAAGAGTGGAGAGGGGGGCACCGGGGGGCTGGAGTGAACATGTGCGAGCTGTTGAAAATGCTGACCAGCTCCCAGGAGCCGACACAAGGCGCGGCGGGCGCAGGCCAAGGGGGCTGGTGCCCAAGTGATGTTGTTCAGGGGGGACAGGTTGTGGGAATCGGCCTCCTCTGTGCAGGTGCAGCGAACGCTGATGAATGCGCGCACAGCACCCCAGGGCAGAGCAAACCGTCATGTGTGCTTGCGCAATGTGGCAGTGTTGCAAAGCTGTTGTGGCAGTGTTGCAAAGCTGCCCGCAAACCAGGGAATTCAACCGGCCTGCCGCGTCAACGGTCGCGAACACAACCACATCATTCCGCCGGCAAGGCCGGAGGTTCCAGCTCTGCGCCGCGCCGCGCAGTGTCGGCTGCTCGCGGCTCGAAGCGTGGGGCGCAGGGCGGGGCGGGGGCGCCGGCGTGGGCTGCGCGCGTGTGGTGCCTGACCACGCTCGGGCGCGGCGCGGCGCGCCACGCACTCTCGCGGAGCTGTCGGACGGCGCCGCTGCAGCGCCTCCCAAATCGCGCGCGTGCGTGAAAGCGACGACCGGCGGCGCGCGGTCGACTGCAGTGCATGCGTCCACCCGATATTGACATCTTCAACTATGCAGGATGCGTCCGAGCTTCGGATGGATGCAACCCCCAAGCCGTTTGCCAGCGCCCGCGGCATTCGCGCGAGCGCGGCCCGTACAGTGCTTTGTCCCTCTCCGCCCAGACCGCCGCCGCCGCCATGAGAGTGCCCCGAGCGGCCTGCGGGCCGGCGCGGGGGCCGGCGGGCGCCCGCTCAGCGAGCACGCATGGCGAGGGCGCCGACTCCGTCGCTGCTGTCATCGAGAAGAGCCAACAGGCTCGCCAGCGAGTTCAACCCGCTGCCCAGCGACGACAGCGACGGCGGCTCCCCGCCGACGCTCGGCGGAGTCCCGAGCGCGTCGCTCGCAGGGCGCGCGCCCGCTGCTAAGGAGCCGGCGGCGCCGGCCGGCGGCCGGCCGGCGGGGGCGGCAGGTGCTGCCGCGGCGCGGTTGGTCGCGCCGCCGAGGCCGGCGGCGGCCGCCAGAAAGACGGTGGCGTGGTCTGGCAGGTGCTGCAGGTGGTCTGCCGGCTCGAGGCTCATCGCCTCGGCGACCAGCCTGTCACAGATCGCGTCCGTCATAACCTCGGACCTCGTCGGCGCGACGCAGCCGCCCTCGGGCCGCGCCTGCGCGCCGGCGGGCGCGGGCGGCG